TTTTTCCAAAAACGACTAAATGTTTGAGTTTACGACAAAGTCCCGGCGTCTGAGCGTCGTTGGTTCAAATCCCTTTTTGTTTTTCCAAAAACGACTAAATGTTTGAATCTTTATTTTTAACAGTGTCAAAAAAATGAAAAACCAACAGAGGGGCATAAAAAAATAAATGTTACAAGATGTTACGAACAAAACTGGAACATTGATTTATTAAAACATAAAAAACCAACACTTCTGTGTTCCTTACCCCTGCTCGGTGCTGCCATCGTAGGTGGAGTCGTTCAGGTAGACAGGCATGGCGGGCAGGTGCATGAGGTGACCCACTGGAGCCGTGTACGCCGTCCGCCCGTCTGAGCGACCAAGAAAGAAGAAATATTTACATCTCAGAAAAAAAACAAACGACCTCCGTCTGGGCCGTGAGCCATACTTTGTCAACCACTTAACCTTTTACAGAGTGACGTTTGGAGCTGAAACCAAACACCCCCCCCCAACCCACACACCCACACACACATCCTGAGAGAACGTGTAAATTAACACTGAGCATCAGTCAGAGCTGGGACTTGAACCAACGATGGTGAAGCCTCTTTATTTTATTCATGGGTTTCTTTAAGAACTGCTCCAACATTCGACCATAATCACAGCCTCAGGGAAGAAGTCAAACAAACCTGACACACACACACTGACACACACACACACACCTAATCAGCGCAGTGTGACGTCAGTGGCGCGGCGTGCAGCCCGACTCTCCCACTGCATAATAAACAGTTCTTCTGAGTCGTGTGAACTCTGGTCCAGATCACAGACTCTCCCTGGTTGATGGGCTTCACTCACACATTCACCTAATGCGGCCGTGGACCGCGGGTCGGGTCGGGCCCATATTAAATGTACAACAATAAACACAGGACGGAGCGCGAGCTTTAAGGTGAAGTGATGCGAGACCGCGCCGAGAGGCTCAGCCTGTAAAAAAACCCGACACGCCGTAGATGTTTTACGTAGTCTCTGTCGGACGGATGAGCCCAAGTGCACGACGTCAGGATCCACATCAGAGCAGATTTCACGGATGGCCGTCCCTGAAGACATTAACCACAAGCTGAGGCTTTTAGCCCCGCGACGGCGCTGATTTACGGGCGAGGAAGCAGAGGAGGTGACACACACTGTGGCTTCTTTTTATCCGAGCCAACCCCGCCCGCTCCACCGAGGCTGTAAATGTGATGTCATAAGTCAGACCGACGAGGCAGATATACGACTGGGAACGCTCCGTCCTAATCCCTCCGTCCCTGACTGACAGGCAATCAGACGGAGTGTGTGAACGTCCTGGTCCCGTCCAGTTCTGGAGAACCCGTCTGACCAAACCACACGTGAACACAGACGTACTCACCGTCCCAGACGCAGCCGTACAGCTCCACTCGGAGGCAGACGCTCATGACCCTGTCGGCCAGGGGGTGGAAGCGCACCACGCGGGCGACAATGGGGGGGCCCAGGTCCTTGAGCACGATGTCGTAGGTGTTCTTGTTCCCTGACACCACCTGGAGGAGACACGTATGAATATTTAATCACTCCTCTGCTCTCTTATCTGCTCACTTCAACGTTCTCGCCTCAGGGCGCTGATATTTTATGCAGTATATATTCTTTAAATGTGAACGCACCAGAAACTGACCCATATTTACTGAAGCCACAAAAGCCTGAAGAAAAATTCTGTTTTTAACCCTTCGCTCACAGGCTTGGAAATCCAAACAGACAAGAGTTTTTTTGTAGCAGAATTATTGAATTTAATGTTGTTTACAGGCTGATGAGATGGAAGAATTAAAGAAGAGGAAACAGACGGAAACATCTGACCTTCAGTCTCATATCAAGGTTCTAAAATTATAATTTAGAAGAAGAAGAGGAAGAAGGAGAAGAAGAACTTTGTTCTGTTCAGTGACCAGAGAGGATAAGGTTCAACTCTTACGTCCTGGCCCCAGCGGTCCCTCCAGGTGATCCATTTGACTCCGTCCCTGGAGTAGCTCAGGCGATAACTGCGAGCGAACTCCTGGCCGTGACCGTCGGCGTGACGACCCTGGGTTCCCACCAAAGCCAGGAAGTGGAGTTTGCGCAGATCGACCTTCGGGAGACGAACGAAAACATCATTAACACCAACACAGACTTTGTTGGTGTCGCCGAGGCAACGGTTCAAATGAAGACCCGGAGCGTCTGACCTGGAGGTACTCCGACCCACTGGGGTACACGGCTCCTGCAGGACACCAGGCTCCGTCGCCCTCTCCTGTACTCAGACTGACGGTCACAGACAACAGACAACAGACAACAGACAGACGGCTGTGAGAACGTGACCTGAATGGACTCATTAGT